ATTGACCCTTGTAGTGTTCACAAGGATCTGTTTTCTGACTTCTCATCGTCACTTGTCTGTTATCTTCCATCCTCTGACAAGATCTGTTTTAGTTGGTAAACAGGAAACACGAAGAGACAAGCTCCGAGAAATTTAATTTGTCAAGTAAATCGAATCTCCGTCAAAATCCTCTTTTCTGATGCATGATAAGGGCACGACAACGTCGTCTATTGCGTTCATCACGGAAACGTCCTTTCCGCTCTGCTGACAGCCGTTCGTCGTAGGCTCAGAGTTCCTCTGAATTGCGTTGATTTCCTTGCGAGAGGTTTTCTCTTCAAAAAGAAACCTAATTTTTGAAGAAATTACGAAAGTTGCCATATCACTCGACTAACTCTTTCGTGACGAAGCTGGTTTTTCTATGACAACAGAACTACAAAACTAGAAAACTTGATTGAATACGGAAAAGACTTGTCTCTATCACAGGTTATAAATTCTGCTTCCATTTCCCAAAAAAAAGCTGAAAACGAAATCTGGATATTTCAAATGTTCAAAGAATGACTTACTTGGTGGACCTCATGCAGGATCGAACCTGCACACCTGCACCGTGCTCATGATGAGTGACATCACTACCACTGTTTTAACTCTCCTCCTTGTTCAAAATAGGATTGCCAACGAAGAAGAGCGATTTGTAACCCTTAGAAAATTGGCAGCCTTCTCAGCGAAAAAGCATGTAATCCTGAATTTCGTCCATTTCGCAAAGGTTTTTCTTCACTTGGCAGCGTTTGACAAAATTTGAAATCTCTTCAGTGTGGTGCTTGAATCCATAAGGGTTTACAGGCCAGCGTCGTACTCTGTCAAACGCGTAACTACTGAAGGTGGACTGAGTTGATCTAAGCATAGCCATCAGTTGATCCATCAACTACCGAGCAGTTTGTGATGTTTGTGTACGGAAGTTGTTCCCTTTAAAAGCATTCGCTTCATGCAATAAGTACGTTAGTAATACCCTTCCTACTGAGACTAAGATGATATGACAGTATTATCAAGGGCTATCCATGTGTGCCATGCGCTTTTGTAACAAGCACGATTGATGGCATCTCCACGACGCCGACGTTGCCCAACCAACCTGCAAAAGTGCTCCCAGAGGCTAAATAACTTTTTTCAAACGTCATTTTTTTATCACAGAATTTTTTAGCACTAATTTACTTGTTCGTTGCAGATTGCACTCCCTGATTCTCTTTGTTTCCATGTATTATCTTCTCTACATGGCTTTGTGCCATTGTCATCGATTTTCTCTCTTGGCTTCATTCATCATTATGAATCACTGGAAAGTACATGGACGTGAACTGTTACCAGTTAGATCAAGTAATATCTGCGTCTAATTCACCGAATAGAACTCATGCCATGGCAAGGAAATCTCTTGAGCCTCTTATTTTCTATAAGTTTGGTAAACTAGCATTAGATCTCTCCGGGAAATGCTTCCACCGATCCGTAAAGTCCGGCAACAGCTTCTGTGGTGAAGAGTCGGAAACGCTGGAGCAGATTTTCATGACAGCTATCCCATCATTCCAGAAAGAATCGAATTGAACGGCACCAATTAAAAGTCGCAAAGAATACGAATTCCTCTTCAACAGACGGCCGACTCAGGTGCTTATCCGAAGGCGTTTGTAAATGGACGCGAGAAAACGAATCAAGAGAAACACTGGGATCAGCGGAATACGTGGAGCCGGCTCATATTAATAAAAGCAGAAGATGAAAGAAACGGTCTAAAAACAGGAAAAAGTTTTCAATTGCTAGAGATTCTAGTCGAAAATCTGTTCTATATTCAGCTTTTGAAGTCACACGATATTTTCAATGTCGGCTTGAACTGGAACTAAACGTTGAGCCACAAAATGGGATCCCGTTACTAATCCTTGTCACATATGAGAAGTTGAGTTATGAATTTCCAATAAATTTAAGACAGAAGAGTACAAGGTTGGCAAGAGAATAGACCGATAATGGGTGGCGAATCGGGGCTTTGAGCAACGAACCTATGCCCCGTCCACTTCGCATAACTTTGAATTGTGCTAGGGAATAAGTGTATAACTTTAAGGAGATATTACAAATGCAAAAATTAGAAACTAAGGCACCTGAAACGATGCGTCCGTAGAAAAATGTTGCAAACATCGCTAAGGCATCTGTCGATATTTGATTTGAATGGAGGTATAACCCAATTTAATCGTCTTTTTTTTCTCATGACTTGTAATAAGTCGGTCGTTGATGAACAATTCAGTCCTCCCATTTCGTCAATTGATTAACTTGTCAGAAATAAAACTAATTAATGCATTTATGCATTCGATTAATTAAATAATTTTTCTATTGGGCGCGTGTGGCGCAGTGGTCGGAGGCGCCCTGTAACACACACGTGGAATCGACCCTCGCGCCCACGGCCCAGCAAGCTTTCCATCTCTCCGTTGTCGGTAAATTGGTACCAAACTTGTCTAGGAGAATAGCATCACTGACTCGACAGATCGGTAGGCCATCGCGAATCATCTGAAAGGCCAGATATGAATTCAGTCACCTCCAAACGATGCTTGATGAAGTCGAATGCATGGCGCATCTCTCAGGGATTGATCAATGCCGAGAGCTTTGCTCTTTTTATCCTTTATTCTTCTGTTGCATTTGACTAACTACGTTATCTGTTACATATTCGGTGTTACATACCAGGTTCCAGGTCTCTTGATTTTTTTACAAGCAGTGCTGAACTATTTAAAACACAATTAAACTATTTTTTAATCAGCTATCCGGTAAATTATTTCTTTGCTGGTCTTTTTTTCTTAGCTGTTTTTTTGACGTTATGGCTTGCTAAACAACCACCCACTCGTAGTTATTAGGAGTCCATGTAATTTTAGGTCATACTATAGCTGAAGGATGACTTTTTGGATCTATAAAAAACTTTTGCGTAGCGCAAAAAACTGGTTAGAAGACGTAGTAGTAAAAAGTATCTGCTTCACTTAGGTCATTCGGCTTCATCTTTCTCTCATTATTTTCTCTTCTCACCTCATTCATCATTCACCTTCTCCATTTCATACCGCATCCTGCCCTCACCGATAGTGTTAGTGCAAAGACAGTCTAAAAAGTTGCTGAAAAATTATATTGTTATAAATAAACTATTAAATCGTAGAATTACGACAAGGAGCGTGTAACGCAGTACTATATATAATAGATGTCCTGCAAATATGTGGTTGTTCGCTTGACGAGCCACTAACCAACCAAACCCCTACCCCTTTAGGGTTGACAAATTGCTACCAGACTTCTCTTAGAGAATAGCAGTACTGGTCGATATATTGGTGAGTCCCTGCAAGTTAATATGTAAGACGAATATGCATTCCATTGTTTGTAGGATTCTTAATCGAGTCGAATGTATAGAGGACTGCCCTCGGGGACTAATCAACGTCGAACGCTTGGATTCGTTATCTAACACGATCACCATAGAAGTGTTCATTAATGGTCTTTCAAGCCGTGCTCTAGCATTTGATGCGAGACCCTTTTACCCTAACCAATTGTGGCTGGCTTCTCGTGCAGAGTCATTTTCAGTCACTTGATAGAGACAAAGATATAGATAGGGTTACATGTTACAATCTGCACAAAAACAACTTCGTTCATTCATAGGTACCTAAATATGACGACGTTCATAAGAAAGATATAAACCAGTATACCAGGAAAACAAAACCCGTAACTCCGAAGGAAATAAACATTAAGGAACTGTGCATCGATTTCAATGCAGACGTGCTCTAAAACATGCTCTCATCAAATGCTTTAGTAATCGACAATTTATTAGCAGTTAAAAAAAACTATTACTGTCGAGGATGTTTGGAACGGCTAGCAACCTTACGGAAACGCTTAATCTGGAACGTCGGAATTAATCAGCTAAAGATAACAGTTATATGAGAGATTCTGTGATTTTTTTCAAAACACATGGACAAATATCTACTATTTACTGTAGCCCCAGGTGCGAAACAAAATAAACAATTGCATTGCTGTGGCTCGTTCCACGTTATTCTGTGAAATTGCTGCAGGTTGTTGCTGCAGTTATTTATTATTTATTATCATTTTTTATTTAAATGACCGGCACTACATAGCGCGCAGATCCTTGTTCTTTTTTAGCTCGACTCCTTTGCTCCAGTGCGTTGACCGCAACGTGTTCAAGTTTGCGTGTAAGTTCAGTTGCGCTAGAAGATTTTGGCTTTCTCCGGAAATGTGATTAAGTGCTGGGATAACCGTGCCACTATGTTCCCGCTTTCCTAGTCGAACGCGCTATTGTCCTTTCCGGGGAGTAACGTTACTCCCCGTAAAGGACAATAGCGCGTTCGTTCCCCACCATAGACACCTGCGGTCCAGAGTTTTGCAAATATCTCAGCAACGTTGTGGTTGTATTTCGCTTAGTAACCTGCCATGAAAATTATAGAAGGCAGAAAACAAAAACGTTAAACATTGCTAATCTCAGATTCAATCTCAGAATTCTGATACCAGTTTTCCAATCGCGGATGGATGGGGTTCGTGTGGCCTATGCGAGTTTGAACGGGGTCGTTCCGCATTTTAGACGGCATTCACATCCCTGCTCTAACCGATACGCGCGGTAGTGCTTGAATTCACACAAATTATTTTTTTTTAATAAATAACAGAGGCAAATTCAAACTGAAATCACCAACGTTTTAACTTTTGTTTACTGCTTTTTTTTTCTTCGTGGTAGGGTATTATTTAAAATACAATTAAGTGCTATGAAAGCAGCAATTAGCCGCCAACGGATTTGATAGCACAGTTAAGGCTAGTAACTTGCTGAAAAAAAAGTAAAGTAAAGGTTATCTTTTAGCGTAGTGGACGATAGTACGTGAGCTCCGGAAATGGGTAGTTGCAGGTTCTAAGCGTACCTGAGGCTCTAACTAAGTTTTGCTCATGCCTCAGCATTCTTATGGCTGAAATCACTAACTCTCGATGTTTTTCATCAAAATCCGACCGTGGTTCTATGATTTTTTACTTAAGGTATGATAGCTATAATAATACCTAGTGTCAGCATCGTTCAGGGTTCCATTGGTTGTGCTGTAGCTCCCGCCTTCAACTCCGTGAGAGAATATCCATCCGGCTGCCCGCCTCCTTCTTCCATTGGAGTTACGCTAAGGGTGGATGCGCGACGAGTGTCGTTGTGCTGTCAGTTAGCCGGTGTTGAACCGACGACAAACAATCAAGCAGTAGATGACCACCATGCATCTTGATCTTGGATTTCCTGCAATACATCGAACCAATCCGCCTCCAATGATTGGTGAGTGCCTTTTCACTATATTTCACTCCTCTTCATTATTACAGATATTCGTCATCCCAGATTCATTCATTCTCCATGAAATCATTTTCTCAGCCTTTTTCTAAACAGATCTTTTCCTGTTATCCACTTGTTTCAGTTGCTTTTAAAATTTTAGCACGATAAGGTTAGTATTTCCACACAGATTTGCAAAGGGCAACTTTTGGGAAAAATGATTGCCAGAAATTTATGCATTGCTTTTAGACGAAATTCTTTATCAGCTCATACACGACGACCAGGGTAAGGCATATTACGAGGCCGATTTTTTTTAAACAAAAATTTGCTAAATGCGTAAAAGCCTGTTTTCACAAAGAGTGATGCCACTCAACTAAACTATAGCTAGCCTGGAAGGTTTCCCTAGTATGCCAAAAATCCCGCTCCAGATCGTTCCCAGGATGTCATTATAACCCGTCGTTAGTCGTTATGGAGCAAACCATTGGAAACCATTGGATTTTCTAGGCTTAGGTAACTATGCTAAAGTATTCTGCACATTTTCAATGATGCTGAGATATTTGCAAAACTCCGGACCGCAGGTGTATGCGGTGGGGAACGAACGCGCAATTGTCCTTTCTGGAGAGTAACGCGTTCACAACCACACCATGCGGGTCCTTCGCTTCGCCTGTCTTTCAGCTAGCTCTAGCGATCTTTTGCCATCAGCAATCACCAATTTAAAATATTCTGCACACTGTTTTTCGCTGGTCACAGTGAATTCCTCCTCTTCGGGGGGTGGTGAATAATATATTCAAATACGCAGTGATATCAAATTTCTCTTGGTAAATAGAACGCAGTGGAAGCAAAGTTTACTAGAAGTAGTAAAATCCACTAAATATGTGGCAAAACTAAAAAGTGATATTAAAACTCACTTCTGATGACGTGGAATTGTTTTTCTATGAGACTTTTGGATATCAAATTGCTATTTGAGCAATAAGTGCGTAATCTATCAGCGGCACAAAATTTGAGAAGAATATTCCAATTCTCCATTCGAACGCTCATCTAGGGCCTGTTCATATAAGCCTATTCAAGGAATCGCCACCTTTTTTGAAGAAGCGATCCTTCCTACAGTGATGAACACCGAATGTCGAACATCTCGACATGTTTATTTATATGATCTTATAAACCGATCTTCTTAAGCTGATGCGGGGTTGGTATAGGGACGTGAGCGGACCAACCCACACATAATATCACGGCTCTTAGGAAGGCGAAGTCATCGAAACGTCAGCCATCAACCAACAACGTGGACAACAACGAAAATGACAACGAAGACCTATACCAACCTCGCATCAGCTTAAGAGGATCAGTTTATAAGTTCATATAAATAAATATATCAACTAGCTATACCGAGGTGAATAGAAAGTCGGTCTTTCGAGTTATCTCGACATAGTTATCCGATCATTCTAGGGAAGCAAATTCTTAAAAAATTTTTGAAACCAGTGGAATCATAGAAAAGGTAACAGTGACACCAAAGTTTTCAACGTTTAATGAATAAAAAAAGCTAACGTTACTTACCAACATAAGTATTGAGAAAAAATTGTAAACTACCTTTTTCACTCCTTATGAGTTCTACGACGAACTTCGTCAACTGCGTTGTACTTCCTTCTTATCATCAACATTTCCTTTTTTATAATATCATCAAACAAAGTGAAGTGCATTATTCTGTTAAAAGTCCTCGTCTATTATTAAATTAATCGTCTTCTCAGAATCTATAACGTCATGAAAGTTCATTGTCCAACCTAACATTGAAATAATCAACACTATCCAGTGAAATCTCTATGATGGTACTGAAACGACTGTGTCAGCTCTTTTAAGTGTTTTTTTTTTGTTGTTTCATGTTTTTGCAAAACTATCCAGGGTTAAAGCATAAAAAGAATAGGACTTCAGGTGTCCATAACACCTTGGCTGATGTATCATGCATCTGATTCCATTCGTAGCACCGCAGAGATGAATAAATGCAGATTTGGCCCAAACGATGACTTCGAAAGGCTATTGATACAACGGTCCAGTGTTTTTTCATTCTTCCGAAAAAACTGGTGTCATTTTGCCGTTTTCCATTCTTCCAAACAGACCTGTTATCAATCTGCCTCCAGGCACTCTTAACCGTTGCGCTACAAGCACACCCCATTCCGTGCAGGATTACTGAAGGGTAACACAGCTAGCCTCAGTGGCTTGTCAAGCGAATATATTTCATTTTCCTTCATTTTCAAGAGGGCTTTTTTTCTTTTAGACATCTCTCTTTTGCTCCCTCTTAATATACATTCCTCCTAACGGTTTGCCGCTCCATTGTGGCTGGGAGGTGTTCCTGGGTGCCTGGCTGCGATGTACAGCGGAGGATTCATCCTCCCCTGGCAAGGTCTCCCATGTTGAGAAGGAAACCAGCGTTTCCTTCAAGAAGCCCAGCTGAGAGTAAGCCATTACCAGGATCCACAACCGTCCTGGTATCAAACTTGTCACATGGTCGAACATCTCCCTCTGGTCCACAAGGGCGGTGACTACCTGGGGTGGTGACCTGGAGCAGACTTTGGCTACACTAATCTCGAAGCTCCAGGAAACCGCAATGGCTAGACCAGCAAGACTCCAGAAAAGCCGAAATTATGTTGGAGCACGCAAAACCAGTAAGGACGTGCCATCCAGGTATCCAAGTCCAAGTTTATTTTACATCGTATTAAGCATTGTTTTCACTATCATTTTGAATGCTTCTATTGGTTTGCCTATTTTTAATGAGGAAAAAAGTTTTTTGATGAGTTTATAGTGAATTTGCTTCTTCTCCGATGTTCCACTTCTTCAAAGGCTCAATTATTCTTCGACGGAAAGTGCTAAACTCATTGCTATTACTGATATTGATGTTCATCGTTATGGCTCTATGTGGGCTAAAAAAAAGCCGACAATAGTTCACCACTTTGTTTTTGAACGATTTCTGCTTTCATTTTTCCCACAGTTATAAGACTTTAACTGATTTTTTCATGCGTTTTTTCCACCCTGTTTCAAGTGTTGTCTGTTTTTTGCTTAAGTGTATTTTCTCTTTAGATGATGATCAACGCTGTCCCCTCGGTGATCAACGTGGTGACGTTGAGTGGTTCGCGGTGCAGGCTCTCCTGGCAGTGCTGAACATGACTGCTATCATGATGAACATCTTCTTCATCATTATCTGCAAGGCACGTCATCTACGAAGAGACCTGAAATAAGTTCCGCGCTCAGCGATGGCAATTTCTGAGAAGAAACGTGTGAAGTACGGTGTGGAGATCCACCCCGTCATAGTGAACCAGAAATGAACTTGCTATCGACTGGTATTACGGGGTCTTTTTTTTTTTTACATTTTTTCCTTATTTCTAAAGCTATACAAAGCCAACGAGACGAGGAAAAAAGCAGTAATTTCATTGGGTATCTGTCCTTGGTGATAAATAGAATTCAACTAGTTTCAATGCATCGAATTCTAGAGCAAGGCAAATTTCTTAAAATGTTCATCCGAGAGGTTAGGCCCATAGAGCTAAACTTTCTATTAAAAAACCTGGCTCGTCATCGGAAAAATAGAAAAATCACATTTTATTTCGAATTGAAATCCAATTTCATGAAAAAATTTCTTCTTCTACTCGATCCCTCTTTACCCAATGGTGGCATTTCGGCACTGCAATTTCATGCAGTCGTAGTGGTTTAAATAGCTACTGATCGTACGATAAAGGTAAAAAAAAAGATAAGTCTCTCTGCGTTGATGAATCCCTGAGGGATGCGCCGTGCATACGACTTCATTCAGCAACGTTTGGAGGTGATTGAATGCATATCTGGCCTTTACAATGGCTTGCGGTAGCCTACCGATCTATCGAGCCAGTGCTGCTATCCTCCCAGACAAGTCTGGTACCAATTTGCCGATCCCGGAAAAATGGAAACTTGGTGAGCTATAGACGAGAAGATCGATTCCAAGTGTGTGAGGCAGAGCGCCTCCGACCACTGCGCCACATGATCGTATGATACTCGTACCGAATATAGTGTCATACATTACAAGCATAAGAAACTGCTTGTTTCCTGTATTTTCTGTTCTATTTAGTTTCCTTCAATAAAATTTTATATATTTGAACTTGTCTGTTTTAATAATACAGTACTGCTTAAATCTCTATGCTTCCTGATGTTCTTTGAATTAACAGAAACAAGAAATTTTCGAAAATTTGAGTAAACGAGAAAGTAAAAGCAATGGGAGATGTTCCTCCGATTTTTATCGTTCAAAACCTTGAAGCACAGTCTATAAGGATAAAGGGATAAGTGGTAAAGACTGATCTGTCCCTTAGGGATGCGCCATTTATCTCCATACGATATCATGGAGATGGTTGAATACATATCTAGCCCATAGAATATCAGAAGGAAACTGACGATGTATCAAGTCAAGAGTTTTTTGCCCTCGCAAAGAAATTTGGCCCTGAGTGGCGGCCTAAAAGGATGGTGGGCTTGGTTTGTTCAAGTGGAGGCATTGAGCCAGTGACCATATGCTCAGCACGGCACAACTAAAGACTGCTGTATGCGCTCTCTAAAGCCGGTAGATCAAGTAACATAGTCACGCTACCTTTATCAATATACTAGCACCATTATCAATAAGCCAATAATTTAGCGCTCTGGTGTCATCCACAAGCACATGCGTGTGATGTTGTCGATGATATCGTTCTGCTTAGTGATGAACACTGCTGCTTGTTTATTCTACAACGCCTATTTTGTGTGTCTTGGTATCGTAGGATTTCCACGGGAGCCCCAACAAAAGTAAGTTTTACAATAATTTTATTGCGTTACTTTTTAGGTATATTTTAATCGAATTGACCTTTAGTTAATACCAGTTGACCGTCTACCGTATCCACTTCAACTCAGGACCCACATAAACATGAAAATGTGGCATACACGTCACATTTTCATTCTGACAATCTGAAAAACTAAACGAAAACG